AATTGGAATCAGTCAAATATAGCAAATCTTACCAAAAAACTGATAATGGGTTCAGCACCAATGCTTATCAATATAAACAGAAAATAGGTACAATTTTACTGCATTTTTCTAGATGTAGATTCAAAGACCATAACAGTAGGAATAACAAGTATTTATTGAGTTTGAACTATGCCCTATACTTTTATCTAAGTCCTTTATCCAGAGTACTTTATTTTTACATTTTTATTTTATGACAAGTCTTTTAAAACTCATAGAAGGATTTTCTGGATCATGCTGGGACCGTCTAGTAGCAGCATTCAAACTAACTGCTCTTATTTTTGTTTGTGCACATTTTATTAACAGCAACAAGTCTGACTTAATTATCAAGAAGTATGAGAAAATGGCAAGAGTAACTATAACATGTGTGATATGCACCCAGCTCAAGATGACCAAGTGGAGTTCTGCATAAATCAAGATATCCCATTTTTCCAGCACCATTTATTGAAGTGGCTGCTGTTTCTCCAACATATGCTTTTGGCACTTTGGCTGAGAATCAGTTGGTATAGATGCATGGGTTTATTTCTGGAATCTCAATTCTGTTCCATTGGTCTATAGATCTATTTAAATGCTGATACCATGCTGTTTTAGTTACTATGGCTCTGAAATATGTTTGCAAATCAGGTATTATGATGTCTCCATCTTTGTTCTTTTTGTTTAAGATTGTTTTGGCTATCCAGGGTCTTTTGTACTTCCATTTGAATTTTAGGAGTGTTTCATTTGGTGAAGAATGTCACTGGCATTTTGATGAGAATTGTATTGAATCTGTTGATTTCTTTGAGTAGTATGGAAATTTAAATATTAATTTTCCCATGAACATAGAAGATCTTGTGTTTTGTCTTCTTTACTGTCTTTCATTATTATTTTGTAATTTTCATTATAGAAGTCATTCCTTGTTTAAATTTATTCCCAATTAACTTGGTTTTTTTTTTTCTTTTTTTGTTTTTTTTTTTTGTAGCTATGTGAATATGATTGTTTTCATGGCTTCTTTTTCAACAAGTTCACTACTGAAACTGTATGCTAATTTTATATCCTTCTATTTGACTGAATTTGCTTATCAATTCTAACAGACTTTTTTGTGAAGTCTCTAGGTCTTTGTATATCTAGTGCCATATCTGCAAACAGGGATAATCTTACTTAACCTTTTCCTATTAATATGCCATATGTTTCTTTCTCCTGCCTACTTGCTTTGGCTAAAACTTCCAGTACTAGAGTGAATAAGATAGGTAAAACCCTTTTATATTGTAGATCTTAGAGGAAATACTTTCAGGTTTTCCTAATCAGTACAATGTTGTCTGTGGGTGTATATATGGCCACATGTAGGCTTCGTTGAGGTACTGTTCTTCTATGCCTCATGTTTTCAGAGTTTTTATCAAAAAGCCATGTTGAATTTCAGCAAATGCTTTTTCTGAATTTTTGAGATGATAATATCATTTTTTCTGTCTTTTCTGTTAATCTGATGTGTTAGATTTATTAGTTTACAAATGTTGAATCTTCTGTGGACCCCTGGAATAAATCTAACATCATTGCAGTGTATAATCAAGTAATATAACTTTGAAAATGAGCAAATGATCTGACTAGACATTTCTCAAAGGAAGAAATACAAAAGGCCAACAAATATATGAAAAAATTGCTTAATATCATCAGCCATCAGAGAAATATAAATCGATACATTGAGACATCATCTGACCCCAGCTAGAGTGGCTGTCACCAGCAAACACAGCAAATGCAGGACCAGCTGGGAAAGGAGCTCTTATATACTGTGGACAGGAACGTAAGATAGTACTACCACTGGGGAGCACAGTCTGAGGGCTCTGCAGAAAACTAAAAATATATCTATCATATGACCCAGCTAACCCACTTCTGTGTAAATATTTCACCTTGGTGTTAACTTTAAAGGGCCTAAGTCCATCAACTTCTCTTTCATTTAAAAACAAAAACACACAAAATCTATGTACTTGAGGATTATAAAGGTGAAAATCACTTACATCTAAGCTAAATACTCTACTAGACTTTTCATGGAAGTCTATGGCAGTCCAACGGAGGAGGAAAGGTAAATGCAGAGAAGTAGAAAATGGGAAGAATCTAGTTCAAGGTATTTCACCCATCAGCATAGTAGAACTTTAACAGAGAGTAAACTGCCAGTCAGTAGACACTTACCTTTGCAGCCTTCACAAGTCAGTGCATTATAATGATAGCCGGATGCTCTGTCTCCACACACCACGCACAGCTCATCCCCTTTTACTCTCCCTGCTGAGGCACCCATTCTGGCCTTCTTTGTTATGGGCATCTCTGCCACCTCAGTCTCTGCCTGGTAGACAGTCTCAGGGGGCATCCGCCGGAGTTCATAGATCCCAGGAGGGTACCACTCTTCTGGCTGCTGGGGGTAGAAGCCCAGGTTGGAATAATAGGAAGATGAGGAAATCTGTGGTTGAACCTGGGGAAACTGGACGTTGCTGTACTGTGAGTACGGTTCCGTGTCCAGGTTCTGCCCCAGAGGACCTGCTGCCTGTTCTGAGAGCACACCTGGGCAAAAGGGACAACAGGAGTGAGATTAACGTCCTCATTCTGCAACCCAGAGAAGCAGTTTGACTCCATGGTGAGGAGTGTGGCTCTGAAATTGAAATATACACATTTAACTATACAAAGTAGAAAATCTGCATATATAAACTGTGGCAAGTATATTTAACTACACAAAATTAACTTTAACATGTGCATATTTAAATGTTTATAAGCTCAGAAAAACATCTGCAACATGGAAGACACACCAAAAAAATCATTAATATGTAATAAGCTCCAGTAAACCAATAAGAAAACATTCAGCAGCCTACAGATAAAAGGAATGAACAAACAGTTTTGGAAATAAATACAAGTGTTTTATAAACATACAAAAATACATGTACCCTTGCCAATAATTAAATTCAAATTGAAGCTTCAATATAACTGTTTTTATCTGCAAATGTGTAAAGATTTTAAAAGTTTGATGATATTCACTATTAGAAAAACAAACCTTCCCAGAGGACTATTATAGTTTGTGTCTGAATGTCCCCTCAAAGTCTCATGCAGTCATGGATGTGGACTCCTAGAGTTTATGATTGATTCATGGTCCAATGCTGGGATTATGGGTGTAAGTGATATACCTGCCCTGGGGCAGGTAGCTTGCATACAGTATAAGGGAGGGAAGGAGGCTTGCTCTTCCCACCTGCTCCTCCATTTTGCTCTTGTTGCTTTTGCTGTTTTCCGCCACCATGAACTGTTGCCCTCTGACATGTGCCAGCCTGCCTTGGAGCCAGCCGAGTATGGACTGAAACCTCCACAAACAGTGGGCTAAATAATAAACCTTTCCTTCCTTAATTCTGGGCATCGGGTATTTTGTCTCAACAAGCAGAGAAAAGTAACCAAGACAAGGACAACTTGTCAAAATCTTTCAAGGTTTAAACCACAAATACTAGGCATACATTTTCTGGTGCTAGAAAATTTATTTTAGGGCTGTGTTTGAATCTATATGAAAAAGTGTTTTCATACAAATAAAAATTTTCATCTGCAGCAACTTTGTAAGAACCATAAATTGTGAATAATTTAAAAATCTGTTAACAGGAATCTGGTTAAAAAATGGTTCTGTTACATCCTACAGTGAATTATTTTATAGATGTGAAACAATGATGTAGGTTCTACCATATCATACTATTTGAAGAAGGTATACTATAGAACATGTGGATATTCATGTAGTTACTTAAAACACTCTGTGTGTGTGTGTGTGTGTGTGTGTGTGTGTGTGTATTTGTAGGCAAGGTAAATTTCTGCATGATACATAAACAGAATGATAGTGACTGCAAGATTGCAGGAAGTGATATTACTACATTTCAGTATTTTCTGGGGTAGGAGATTGAACAATAATTTATTGTTTGTGACTTTTGCCATGTGCATGTGTTATTTTAATTATTGGAAGACAAAGAATGTTTTGAAAAAATAATACAGTATGTGGAATCTGTCGACCTGAATTTTAACCAAACCCTGCCCTGTTATTTACTGTGTGCACTTGACAATTTTTTCAACATCATTAAGTCACAATTTTCTCTTCACAAAACAGATTATTATAATAATACCTACCTGACTGGGTTGATGTAAGGACTAAGTGAGACAGTATACATCAAGTACTTTGCTAAATTTAATGCATAATTATTCAATAAATTATAACTGACATTAAAATATGAGTAACCATTCCTACCAGTTATTGTTAAATGAGCTACTTCCATATAAAACCTCTAGGTCACGGGCCAGGAATATAGCTCAGCGGCACAGCACCTGCCTGGCAAGCACAAGGTCCTGAGTTCAATTCCTGGTACCAAAAACAAATAAACAAAACATCCCTCTAGGTCACAAAAACCTATTAGGTTTTGAAAATGCTTCTGTTTCCTGAAAACATAAACTATGGCTCTCTAGAAAATAGGAATATTTAAATTATTCAAAGTACTGAAAAATATAGTAGACAAAATAAGAGGTAAGACCGTGTGTAAATGTGTCCAATTCTCCAAAACACTGTCAGACAACCCCAGATCAAAATTACAGCTGCACCTCTCCGAACAGTGGGATTTCGAGCCATCACCTAAGCTACGGATAAAGCCTGGGATGAAAGACTCTGGATCAAAGGTTCTACTGCTAACTGGGTGAGATAATACCGGTTCAGTTCCTCATCTGAAACCCTGGCAGTGAGACGGATTTAGAACTGGAAACTCCTTGGATCTTAGCACAGACCGCAGTGCTGTTTATGTAGCAAACCCAGACTCAAACACAGCAACAGTTTCCCCAGCAAAATCTGTGGATGGTCACACAAAGGGCAATAAGTAAGGACCACAAAGTTACACGTTCCCATTCCTATGTTGCCAAGGAGCTGAGGTTAGCAGCTGGGGAGTCTGACTTCAAGCGCTTGTGATGAAGCATGCTTCTCCGCGACAGTACCCCATGTGAGATGCTTCAATGACGCGAGAGTCCGCGCCCTCTTCTTCCTCCGCTCTCTGTGCTTGCGTTTGCCGCCCCTTCAACCCCTCTGCTATGCAACACCAACCACAAGGCCTGTGAGATCCTGCCAGACCGACGCTTTTCCAGCCTATTTCCCACATTCCTACTTCTCTGTTCCTTTATTTTTAAATTTTTTCTGTTTCCGGTTTTCAAGACAGGGTCTCGTGATATCCTTCAGGTTGGCCTTGAACTCACTATGTGGCCCAAAGCTGCTCTTGAATTTGAGGCAGTTCTCCTGCCTCAGCCTCCCAGTGCTGGTATTACAGTTAGCACACCCGACTCCGTTCCTTGAATGTGCCTTGTTGCTTTCCAGATCCGGGACTTCTCCCAGTGCTGCTTCCTGAGCCCAGAATCCTTCTCAACATAGCCCTCGCCTGCCACACCTTCAACCCTAACCTCCTCCTGTCTACAAATTTTGCTGTAAGTATTGCTTCTCTCGGGAAGTCTCCCCTGGCTCCATGTCCTGGGAGTCACTGTTTTGAATCTAATTACAGGGTGTTTAAAAACCATCACTTGCCTATGATTTTTGGCTTCATAAAGAGAAGACTCGGGATAACTGGTCTAGCTCCTTATATCTACAATCTCTGTAAGCATCTCACTAATAGTTTCTGAGCCTCAGAATCTGAGACTTTTCTACAATGGCAAAGTGGAACACATCAATAGTAAAGCTTGTTGAAAATAATACATTCTGCACTGACCCGGGAAATGACTGCCAGAGTACACAATGTAGAATATCTGAAAAAATCTATTTCTATTCTCAAGCTCGACTTCCCCCTATAAAAGCAGCAGAAAAGCCCGTGTCTCTGACAGGGGCTTACCAAAAAACATTACCAAAAAAACATTTTGGTAATGCTACTTTGTCTTCTGAGCACAAAATAGAAGAGGAATAATATAGAGTGATTACAGGGGGGAAAAAAGAAAAGATAAAATATAAACAGAATCTTGGTCTATTTCATAACCCAGTGTGAGTAAAATTTCTGAGCAAATAGGATTGAAAAGAACTGAAAGTAGTAAAAACATTGATTTCATTCATTCTTAGATTTTATCTTTTGACGCATCTTCTCAATTTGTCTTTCACCCACTGTCCTGGTTCTCTTTACCACAGGTTTAGTCAGGTTAAAACCAAACAATTAATGACGGAATCTGGATTCTTGTAGAACTCAAGGAAATGGGTAAAGTGTTTCCCCTCACAACTCAAGATTGTGACAATTCAAGATCTCTGAGCATCACTTCAACAAAACCAGCATTTCCATAATCAAGATACACAGGAGCGTTCCACCTCAGGTTAATTACATCAATGTCACATTAATTGCTGGCGTCATTTAGATTAAAACAGGAAACTTTTTTATGAAGATATACATAGCGTTATGCTACAACAGTAAAACATGGCGAAAATATGAAGACAGCACACAGTAACATTAGGTAATGCTTTTCTTCTCAAAGCATATCCATTTCTAGTATTTCACTGTGCTCACCAAATCTCTACAAAGTGCAGAGTAAATACACAGGCAGCTTCCAACCAAAGAACCGATGTGTTGCAGAATGGCTGGACCAAAACACGATCAACTGACTTTGAGAACTTACATAACTGCTTACCCTTTTTCTGTTCCAATTTCATCTGCAAAATGGAATCTCAGCCTTGCTATCTCGTAAGGAAGTCTGAGTATAAAATATACTTGTTGAGAAAAAGCTTTGCTAAGTCCAGTGTCCTTAAAAGACATGCCATCTCCTAAAGAACCTACCAAAATCCTGATTCGAAGCATAGCTAATTAGTAACTGTTATTAACATATAGTCTGTCTTCATGACATAAATATCAGGACAGTTCTTTTATTGTCAACACTATAAACACTTGTTATTTGACAGACACTGTCAGGCTCTGAAGATACAACTACAGACAAGAATGATAAAAAAGACCCCAGGCTTTCTCTGATGTGTGGGAAGCAGGACAAAAACAAGTAAATAAGTAAAAAATACAAAACTGTGTAATAGAGAAGATGTGGAAGGAGTTGAAGCAGTTCAACTTTATGCGAATTTACATTCCTTTCTGACAGGAAGTTCTCCATGAGAGTTTAAGAAAGGGTTCTTAAATGGAAAGGCATGAACCAACCATTCCAGGGGTCCGAGAACCCCTGAAAAGGAAAGCAAGACGCGTCTGAATAAAGCTTCCAGCCTTCAGCAGATTCTCTGAGACCACACTATCCAATGTGCTGGAGAAGGATTGTGTACCTACCAATATGGTGGCCACTAACCACATGAGGATATTAAATACGATGTGGCGAGTGATACCAAGGAACTAAATTTTACATTTTGCTTAATTTAAGGTAATTAAAACTTAAGATTAAATAGCCATATGTGGCCACTGACTGTCAATTAGACAGTGTAGTTCTAAAGAGTTTGTGCCCAAAGTACTGTGGACCCCAGGAATCAGACTCACGTAATGATTATGGTACTTTGTCAAGCTCCATAGGTTTCTGATGCCCCTGGGTAAGGGCGCAGGTTCCATCTA